CCCCCCCCCCCCCCCCCCACACACACACCCAGTCCGACAAGTGCCCTACAAAGCGAAACACAGTTTTTTCTTTAGGGTGTATTCACACCAGGAAAGTCCTTTGGTCCGCTTGTTTGGTCCAGACCAAAAGTGGACTTTATTTTTTTCATTTGGTGCGGTTTGCATTTACATTGTACGGAGCCCGCAAGGGGACACGGGGGGATTTTTTTTCCTTTTGCGTTCCCTCGCAATATTTTTGCATTCCTTCGCAATAATTTTGCGTTCCCTTGCAATACTTTTGCATTTCCAAGCAATATTGTTTTGTGTTCCCACGCAAAAGATAGTTTTGTATATGAACTGATTAAATCAGACTTTTATTTTGAAATATCCAGTTACCAAAACAGGATGTGTCGCCACAAGTTTATGAAATTGACATTGATGTTGCGTGGCTGCACTGTGTTAAAATATCGGCATATGACTTACTTCCATGCGTGGCTGTGTGATATATTCATTCTGAAGCTGAATTAAAGCAGTAGACTAACTCGCTAATGGTAAACGTGTTTGCTAATAAACTGGCAGGCACAACAGTGATAAACTACTTTTGTGAGGGAACGCAAAAGTATTGCGAGGTAACGCAATACTATTGCGTGGGAACGCAAAAGAAAAAAAATCTCCCATGTCCCCTCGCGGGCTCCGTAACATTGTGCTTTTTTACAAACGAACTATARCTTGTAAACAAAGCCACGAGTGTGACGATCATTTCTCCCACTGGACAGAAAGGATGGGGCGGGACTGAGCGCACAGACCCAGAAGAAAACAAGGAAGTCCTGCATGCTGCGGTTCTGATGCGCACATTTATGCTGTTAGTACAACTGCAATATCATTTAAAAAGTCAGAAGCAGCTAATTTAATGGTGGTTCCGTGATGATTTTCTAATTTTGGAGCGACGTCAGTAAATGTGTCCCGCAACCCAAAGGAGACGAGGTGCTCTGCGTGTTCTGACCCACAACATGCTGCCAGCAGAGCTGCTAACAGGAGACGACGAAACAGGTATGATTTCAGTTTATTTAGCTCAGCTATGGTGGTCTGTGAAGTCCAAAAAGGTGCATGTTTAATGTAGTTGGTTCGGTTAGAGTCTGGTCTGTATTCACACCAGAAGTGAACTGAAGCGAACCGCACCAGAGTTCAAGACAAAAAGACCTAAAAACATTTTAGATTTATTTTAGATTTGATTCGTCTAAACAACCAGCCTAAATCATCAGCTAAAATTCTTTCTGTGTCTGTGTGCAAGAAAATACAAAATTGTATTTCAAATACTTGRGTTGCAAAGTACATAATAAATGTTTTGAACCTTTACGGTGACTTTAAACTGTCTTTGTACTCAACAAACC